CCGCGAGAAAGCTTGTTGACCTGATAACAACAAACTGTCTGTTTTCAACATGAGCACACAGGTTTCTATGAAGTACGAACTAAAAGAAGTGCTGAAGTACAGAAGTAGTAAGTTCGATTCTATGTTTCTGCCCAATTGACCAAAATATACACTAAAACAACATGTCGTTATCCGTTGTGACAAAAATCGTTTCAAACGTAGAATCTTTTCAGTATATTCATAAATTCATAAAACAGAAAATTTTTAGTTTCGAAACTGTTTAAAAAGGTCTGAATATGATATTGAATTCAGTTAAATTATTTCATTTCTCGAAATGGCAACAAATGTATACCTAGATATCTCCATTCGAGCTTAGCACTGATATAAGTTACTATCCTATTGGATCACATTGGATTTTGAAAATTCAGTTCTGAAAATGAGCAAATATGCCTACCTTCATATCTCGCTTGGAGCTTATCATTAATATAAGTTTCTACCATTTGGATCCGATGGGGATTTTGAAAACTGAGTTCTGGAAATGGCAAAAATGTACATCTACGTATCTCCATTCGAGCTTAGCACTGCTATAAGCTTCTATCCTATAGAATCCGATCGGATTTTGAAAATTGAGTTTTCGAAATGCCAAAAAATCCAAACTTCCATATCACCATTGGACTTTATCTTTGATATAGGTTTCTACCCTATAGGATCCGATCGGACTTTGAAAATTCAGATCTGGAAATGGCCAAAAAGGCGTACCTATATATTTCAATTGGAGCTTAGCATTAATATAAGTTTCTACCCTATAGGATTCGATCAGATTTTGAAAAGTAAGTTCTCGAAGTGATCAAAAAGCCATACCTACATATAACTATTAAAGCTAAGCATTCATACAAGTATCTATCCTATAGGATCCTATCGGATTTTGAAAATTCAGTTCTGGAACTGGACAACAAGTCGTACCTATATGTTTCAATTGAAGCTTAGCATTAATGTAAGCTTCTATCCTATAGGATCCATCCGGATTTTGAAAATTGAGTTTTCGAAATGCCGAAAAATCCAAACTTCCATATCACCATTGGACTTTATCATTGATATAGGTTTCCACCCTATAGGATCTCATCGGATTTTGAAAATGCCCAAAAAGGCGTACCTATATATTTCAATTGAAGCTTAGCATTAATGTAAGTTTCTATCCTATAGGATCCGATCGGACACTGAGAACTGAGTTCTGAAATGGCTCAAAAGCCATACCTACATACTTCTCTTCAAGGTTAGCATTCATATAAGTTTCTATCCTATAGGATCCGATCGGATTTTGAAAATTGAGTTTTCGAAATGCCGAAAAATTCAAACTTATATATCACCATTGGAATTTACCATTGATATAACTTTCTATCCTATAGGATCCTATCGGATTTTGAAAATTGAGTTCTGGAAATGGCTAAAAAGGCATACTTATATATCTCCATTAGAGCGTAGCATTAATATAAGTTTCTGCCCTATAGGATCCGATCAGATTTTGAAAATTAAGTTCTCGAAGTGATCAAAAAGCCATACCTACATATAACTATTAAAGCTAAGCATCGATATAAGTATCTATCCTACAGGATCCGATTGGATTCTGAAAACTGAGTTCTGCAAATGGCCGAAAAGGTATACCTACATATCTGTATTCAATCTTAGCATTGATCTAAGTTTCTATCCTATCGGATCCGACCGGATTTTGAAAATTGACTTCTGGAACTGGCCAAAAATGTATACCTACATATCTCGATTGGAACCAAGCATTGATATAACTATCTATCCTGTAGGATCCTATCGGATTTTGAAAATTGAGTCCTGGAAGTGATGAAAAAGGCATATCCACATATCTCTATTGGAGCTTACCATTGATATAAGCTTCTATCCTATAGGATCCGATAGGATTTTGAAAATTAAGTCTGGAAGTGGTCAAAAGGCATACCTAATATAACTATTAAAGCTAAGCATTGATGTAAGTATGTATCCTATAGGATCCGATCGGATTTTGAAAATTGAATCCTGGAAGTGATGAAAAAGGCATACCCATATATTTCCATTGGAGCTTACCATTCGTATAAGCTTGTGTCCTATAGGATCCGCTCGGATTTTGAAAATTAAATCTGGAAGTGGTCAAAAGGCATACCTACATATAACTATTAAAGCTAAGCATTCATATAAGTATGTATCTTATAGGATCCGATCGGGTTTTGAAAATTCAGTTTTGGAAATGGCCAAAAAGGCGTACCTATATATTTCAATTGAAGCTTAGCATTAATGTAAGCTTCTATCCTATAGGATCCGACCGGATTCTGAAAGTTGACTTCTGGAAAAGCCAAAAAGGCATACCTATATATCTGTATTTCAGCTTACCATTCATATTAGTTTCTATCCTGTAGGATCCGATCGGATTTTGAAAAGTGAATTCTGGAAATGGTCCAGAAGCCATACCCAGGTCAATCAATCCTAACTAACGGATTCCGGTGCGGATATCGCCGGAATCTGGCAAAACCCGACAAGAATAGACAGGATTCGGTCGGATTTTGCCGGATTCCGACGATATCCGACGTCGGAATCCGTTAGTTAGGATTCCGGCAAAATTTGTATAGGTTCCAGCCAGAATTATTTGCGACCGACAGGATCCGATCTGGCGTGATTGACCTGGGTACCTACATACTTCTCTTCAAGGTTAGCATTGATATAAGTTTCTATCCTGTAGGATCCGATCGGATTCTGAAAATTGACTTCTGGAAAAGGCCAAAAAGGCATACCTACATACTTCTATTCAAGGTTAGCATTGATATAAGTTTCTATCCTATAGGATCCGATCGGATTTTGAAAATTAAGTGCTGAAAATGCCGAAAATGGCATACTTATATATCTCCATTAGAGCTTACCATTGATATAAGTTTCTATCCTATAGAATCGGATCGGATTTTAAAAATTCACTTCTGGAAATGGCCCAAAATTCATACCTACATATCTGCATTGAAACTTATCATTGATATAACTTTCTATCCTATAGGATCCGATCGGATTTTGAAAATTGAGTTCTAGAAATTGTCAAAAGTGTGTCTCTACATATCTCGCTTGGAGCTCATTGTTGATATAAATTTTTGTCCGATCAGATCCAATGAGATTTTGAAAATTGAATTCTGGAAATAGTCAAAAATACATACCACTATGTCGCGATTGAAGGCCATCGTTGATATAAGTTTTTATCTTATCGGATCCGATGGGATTTTGAAAACTGAGTTCTGGAAATGGCGAATAATGCATGCTTCTATCTCACATTGTGGCTTAGCATTGATATAATTTTCTATCCTATCGGATCCGATGGGATGGTGAAAATTGAGTTCAGAGAATGGCGAAAAATGCATATTTGTATTTCACATTGTAGCTTAGCATTGACATAATTTTCTATCCTATCGGATCCAATGGGATTTTGAAAATTGAGTTCTGGAAATGGCAAAAAATGCATATTTGTATCTCACATTGTGGCTTAGCATTGATATAATTTTCTATCCTATCGGATCCGATCGGATTTTGAAAATTGAGTTCTGGAAATGGCGAATAATGCATATTTATATCACACATTGTAGCTTAGCATTGATATAATTTTCTATCCTATCGGATCCAATGGGATTTTGAAAATTGAGTTCTGGAAATGGCGAAAAATGCATATTTGTATCTCACATTGTGGCTTAGCATTGATATAATTTTCTATCCTATCGGATCCGATGGGATTTTGAAAATTCAGTTCGGAGAATGGCGAAAAATGCATAGTTGTATCTCACATCCTAGCTTAGCATTGATACAATTTTCTATCCTATCGGATCCGATCGGATTTTGAAAACTGTGTTCCGGAATTGAGCAAATGGGCATACCTACATGTGTATTTTCTTGTTTAGCGTTGATATAATTGTCTTTCGTGTCGAATGTGATAGATTTTTGAAACTGATTCCTGGAAAGGGCTAGAGATGTGTGCGTATAGAGCTCTGTTCGATAATATTATGGTTAGAATGTTGTATCGTGTAAGATTGTATTGAATGTGTGGAATATGGGCGTGGAACTCTTTGTTGAGGAAGGGATGTATGCAATTTAGTGTCTGTTTTTGCTTTCATCGATTGGTAGGCTAGTTTGAGTATGTTTTTGAAAGGCGATGTTTAGTGTAAAACGCATGTAGTTTTTTAATTCATGAGAATGTGTCGTTAGGGGCGAATGTTTAGCTTTTTTTGGCTGGCTTTAGCAGAGATGCTATTATGGACGTCTGGTAATTTTATGAGGATAGATTGGTGAATAGTATTGTTTGAGTTAGGCTTCGCAGGCGGTTCGTAATGGTTTTGTGTATGTGTATATTAGTATTTCGAATTTGTGTGCATTATTTATTGTGCGTTGAGATGTTTTTTTGGTTTTAAATATGGCATTTGATGGATTATGAACAGTTGGAGCGATTCGGCTTCCGTTAGTAACGTTAGTGTTGGCTGCCGAAAGTGGTTTCCGATCGGCTTCCGTTCCGATAGCTGCCGATCGGATGTCGACAGTAGGATCCGATAGGATTGCCGATACCGGGGATTCCGTCACATTTCCGTAACCGGTTTTCCGGGAAAATCCGATAGGATTCGGCCGAATTTGGTAGGAATCCGATAGGATGCCTATAGGATCCGAGACGGAACCTATCGGATCCTATTATCAGATTGGTCGACCTGGGTTGGTCCGGAAACAGATATTATTTATAATAATCAAATGGATAGTTTTTCAACTCCAAATACAACGAATCGTTTTGGTATACCAGCAAGTCCAGCTAATTATATAGCACCAGGAAAACGACCTGTTTCATCTATGGCACCTTTAATTATAATGGAAAAACATAATCAACGTATACAGCAAGTTTTAGGTGGTAGTGGTGGCACACGAATAACAACAGCTATAGCTCAAGTAGCTATGCTTAATTTATGATTTAATGATGATATTAAAAAAGCAATAGATTCTCCACATCTTCACTCACAATTATTACCACAAGAAGTTATTGCTGAAAATGGTTTTGATTATGTAAATCTGTGTTTTTTTTTAAATAGATTATTCAAAAAATTTTTTGTTTTATTTTAAGATATATTAAAACGATTGAAAGATCGTGGTCATAATATAACATGCGGTGCTTTTGGTGGTTCTACCATACAAGGTATTGAATGGCGTAATGAAGTCAATCAATACTGGGCTAACTGTGATATACGTAAAGGTGGTGCACCTGATGGAATATCTTAAGAATTTACAATTTTTTTAATCCCATTTTAAAACTTTGACCGAAATATTCTTTCGTATTGATGTCAGTGGACAATTACAATTTATTTTCTAAAACAATATACGAATAAATCCCTCGTTATCAAGTATAAATAATAAGAACCTGGTGAACAAACTTCATATTAGACGACCATACGAGGGTGTGGATGAGGGTGTGAGTGGTGGGTGTGGGGTGTGCGGGTGTGAGCGTGGATCAGTATTGCCAGATCTTCCGGATTTTCCAGAAAAATTCCGGATTTTGCAAGTTTTTCCGAATTTTTTCTGGTTTCTGGATTTTTTCCGGATTTCGGCTTTTTTCCAGATTGTTTTCGGATTTTCACAGATTTATGATTTTTTCAGTTTATCGTGTTCAGAGTAGGGATGTACCGAGACTGAAGGTTCCTTAATAAAAATGGGAATTTTCCTCCAAGAAGAATCCCCGAGACTCGACGAGATTTCTATCTAGAGTTGCTCAGCTTAATTTGATTTATATGTGCATATTACTGGACAGATCGATTCCCAAAGTAAAAGGTTGAGTCTCGGTCAGTTTCAGTCAAAAGATTGAAAAAAACGGAATTTTGACCGAGACCCGGCCTTTTACTTTCAGAATCGATCTGCCCAGTTATATACACATATAAATCAAATCAAGCTGAGCAACTCTAGATAAAAATCTCGTCGAGTCTCGGAGATTCTTCTTACAGAAAAATACTTATCTTTCTTAGGGAATCTTCAGTTTCGGTACATCCCTAGTTCAGAGATTTATAATTTTTTCTTATCAAAACTAGAATTATTGAAACTTATTCATTCTAATGAAAAATATTGTCCTAAAAAATAACGTGTAAATTAACAGCGAAATATGTCATTGATAATTTCTGATTTATTGAATTAACTATGTTTTGATGTGCATTTTCTATTGTTTCATTCAAATATATTTTGTGAAAATAAAGAATAATATTATTGATAATTTGATTAAGAAAAATGCACTTTAAGCGATCAAAACAGACCATCGAAAATCTTTCCGGATTTTTCCGGATTTTGAGATTGGAATTCCGGATTTTCGGATTTCGCATCTGGCAACACTGTTCCTAAACCACCACCAATATCGACCAATTTTTCAAAGCGCGAGAAATCAACAAGTGAGCCAATTGACATTGTGGAATAATTTGAATATGCAATCATGGCATTGTCAAATATCATCGAATATTCTTTATTTTCTTCTTTTTGCAAATAATCGAATAAGGTACAATTATAGGCTTGCTCGAACTCGTTTCCATTTTTATAACCATCCTAAATTAGAGAAGGAAGATATATATGGGGATGGTTTATGTGTAGTTGGCCCCAACTCTAAACGAATAAGGTCTTGAGCTTTCGAAGGATGATTACTAGTTAAAAATAGTCCATTATCAGTGAGTTGAAAATGATTTTTATATTCTGGATGAACATCAGTTTGAGAATTTTCATCACTAGCGCTCAATTCTTTAACAATATCAACGTCAGCAACTGCTTGCAATAGTCGATGAAGAAATTCTGCATTCTATTTATTTCCACTCAGTTGACTTAGTTCGATTGCTGTCAACGGTACTTGATGGTCTGCCATTAAATCCGCTATACCAAGCTCAGCAAATATCCATACAACTCGTTCAATACAACGATGAAAATTAAAGGACATGAATTTTGGTAAACCATCTATTACTAATGGAGACCGAATAGTGTCGGTTTCTTGCTTCGACATAATTATGGATACGAAATCGATGAACAGAAATCAGAGATAATAACTTGTGATAGAACAAAATATCTCGCAATAAATGCAGCCGTCCAAAGTTGATAAAAGTATATCTTCAATAAAACACATTCAAGTATAGAACTGATTCCTCATGAAAAAAGTTTTCAGCGCAATCCCTACGAGATGGGTGCGGGTGTGGAGTGTGGGCGTGGTTTGGGTGTGGTTCGAGAGATGATCCAGAGCTTTAAAGACCCACACCCTCACACCTAAACCCGCACACACCTACACTCCAACACCCGACATCCACACCAACACCCGCATCAACGTACACCCACACCCATACCCACACCCTGAGATTAAAATTTAATTTTCCTAAATTTGAACAAATGACAACGGCAGCAGTGTTCAGACTTCCGAAAAAGGAAATTTCAGAAGTTTCGGAGATTTCAAGCATTTGTTTTCTGAATTTTACGTTACTTCCTAGAATGATGTAATTTCCGAAATTTCTGAACTTTCCGCAATTATGTACTTACAGAGATTTCTGAAATTACAGAAATTTCTAAAATTTCCAATATGTCTAAAAACTTTTGATTTGCACTGCTATATAGTTATCAAGCCGATGGAAATTTCAGAAATTTGGGTAATTTCCTTTTTTGGAAATCTGAACATACCTTCCAATATAGACTTATTAAGGTTTATTCTGATTGCTGTCTGCAGTTGCTTCAGTACATGAAGGCGGACTGCTTGGCGTATCCCTTCGATGCTGTTGCTGATTGTTTACAAGTTCGTATTGTGAGTTAGAATGCAAGTTCGTTGTGCTTCTCCTTCTCCGATGACAAATAGGAAGAATACATTTTTTGACAATTAGGCCAATAATTGCAATACAACCAATGACGATCCCAGTAATGACAGCTTTATTGTAATGTGCATTATTCTTCAAAACCTAAAAGCATAAATTACTGAGACTTGGTCTGGATGAAAAATAACAGCATGACAAAATACCCATTATTCAATAAATTGTGCTGATGAATATCTATTGTTGAACGAAGAGATACCTTTGCCTACGTTGATTGAAGTTCTGAGTTAGCAAAATAATTTCTTCAATGAATATTCCCACTATTTGGAAGTAAATTTGTATGTTCTTTAAACGTAGAAAAAAAACAATGCATAAGAACTATTCAGAAAAAAATTGTTGTAAACTTATAAAGCAAACACAGGTGACATTTTTATTATGACGATACTCTATGGTGAATAAAGAATCGGCAATAAGTATCAGAGCATTAAGAAAGATTACTCATTTTTTTTCAAGTAGAATGTATAGTGGCAAAGAATAAATCAAAAGTACTCTCGATAGAGTGTGGATTATAACATTGCTCAAAAAAGACGAGAAAGATCTGTTAACATGTTTGATCGATTGTATCCAAGCAACATTGAAACAAACTGATGAAGGATGTGGATATAGGTGTCAGTAGATGTGGATATGTGTGTATGGGTGAGATGTAGGTGTGGATGTAGGTAGGGCGTGTATATCAGTGTGTGTGACACGACATTTCTGCGCGCACACTTCTGCGTAAATGAAGTTTTTTGTTTTTTTGTGTGGTACGTCAATACATCTTCTAAAGTTGGATGTGGGTGTGGATCTTCTCTTCAACGATATCCACACTACACGAGAGTAGGCCAACTTTTCGATCGGCAAGATAACTGAAAATTTTAAGCGGAATTGAATCGTTCAGGTCAAAAATGCTCTGTCTTAAAAAATTAACTTAGACGAATGAAACAACACATGAAAAATGGAAATACATAGCAGAAATGAAACTTCCTAGGAAGAATGACTAAGCAAAATGTTTGAATCATTTTTCGATGAGAAAAAAACTTCAGTTAAACTTTATTTCTATTCATACATATTCAGCGGAAAAATGAAAATACATAGAAGAAATGAAACTTTTCAAAGGAAGAATGAGGGTGTGAGTGTGTGGATGTTGGTGTGGGTGTGGATGTGGGGCGTGAGTGGGTGTGGATGTATGTAGTATGTTTTCTTCACCTGCATCTCACACCACACCCACACACACATCCACACTCACACCCACACCCACACCCATAACTCTCACGTATTCATTTTCATAGAACTAAACAATTACATAGAAATGTATTCAATATATTTACATTTTGTTTCAATATCAAATCATCGAACACAGTACGAGCTATATTTAACTATAATCATCAGTTTTTAATGAATGAGGATCTACTCATGTAAAAATCGATAAAAGTTTTTTTAAATGAATCTCCACGTATATTTTCCCGTTAGAAACAGTTTAACATAAAATAATTTGTGAAATTTTGTTATAAAAAAATTCTTAACGCGTTCTCACGATTAAAAATGTAACATCGTTATGGGTGATATTTATCTTGGGAGATAATTTCAATATATAAATAATTATTCTATTCAATTATATATTGAGAATGAAAAAATCTTTTATGTTTATTTATAGGTTTTACGAGAAGAAACAAAATGAAAAACTAGAAAAGAAAATTGAATTGAAGTTCAAATGATTAAAATATCAAGTAAAGAAAAAATTAGATTTGTTGAATAGTTAAAGACTCTTTTGATTCAATAAGTTTAGCCAATTTGAAGGACAATTTTATAATGATTATCTAAAAGATAATATAAGTATAAGATACCTATATAAGTAAATAAAATTAAAACAAACATTGAATATAAAACCCAAACTAGCAATGCAAATAATAACAATGAAGAAGATAATTGTTGGAAGATTATGGTCGCATATGCTTGCGATAGATGAAGCTTTCGAAACAAAGATGAGGACAGTTACAATACCAAATAGAACCATTAAAATTACCCACAACCAAGCGAACTAAAAGTAGAATGTAAATATATTAGTTTTAATAGAAACATTTTATTGAATAACTATTCAACGTATATGTTGTTACAGCTTTTTTTTTTTAAATATCGAACATCAATACATATATAGCACATCTCAAAACAGTTAAAACTATAAATAGTCGTTTGTTTTTTGTTTCTATCATTATCTTGATAATAATTTGTTTTCTCAATTTTTTCGATCTCGAATAATGATAAAGACTCTCTCGCAAGAAAGTTCTTCGTTGAACACAATTCCGATTTGACTTCACACTATATATACATGCATAGAGCATTAGGTTTTTAGTAAAAAAATATGTTTTTAATTTAAATGGAGTTTTATAAAGATGTCACACGGAATTAAATTGATAAATGATTTTATTA